TGCACCTGCGGTTGTGAAATCCGAGACGGCCTGGCCTGGAGCCAGGTGGCCTCTCTACTGCGATCAAAGTTAGCCTCATGGTCAACACTTTTCCTTTTCTCTGAGCCAGAATTGCCAACTTAGCAAATTTCTTAACCCAGTAAGCAAATACTGGGTCCAAGAATTCTGAAACTAAGATCAATTATCATCCCTATTTTCTAGAACCATCGTTCCAGACTTCTTTGTAGGGCAGGAGCCATGGCACCCCTCTGATGACAAGTCCACCATCCTCGAGTGGTTGAAAACGAGAGATGCCAGAAAGATTGATAAGTAAGTTATCAGCAGACGTGGCTGTGTGTGTGGCATGGCTGAGGGGGAGAGAGATGGGTTGGCCTCCCCTCAGACACCCACCTCCCTCATTCCCTCCCTCCGGGTAGGACTTTGCATGGCCACAGCCAATGGAGTCCTTCCTACAGCATGAAGGAGAAATGACTTCATTTGGTGTTATTTATGAGCCAAAGGTTTGAAGCCAACACATGCTCCTGCTGCCCCAGCAAGCGCAGATGCTTCCCTCTTTCAGAGACTCTACACGCCCCCAATTTCAAGGGGAGCTTTGTGGAGGTGCTGGGCAGTGCTGAGTACCCTGGATGGTGGGGCTTCTTCCCCTCCTGGCTGCAGAACCGGTTGAGATGAAGGGCAGAAAAAAGACACTAGACAATGCCAGCCCCTTACTGCTCAGACTGGAAACCACGGTCTTAGACCTGAGGCCTGAAGGACCACCCCCACCCCCAGCCTAGACCTGGACCTCGCTGTCCTTTCCCTTGAGGGCAACTTTGGGTCTTTTGAGCAGACCCACCTGACCACGCCTGCTGTCTTGCCAGGGTCTGGGAGCAATGAGGAGAAACTGGAGGAGGCCCTGACGCAGCCTTTTATTGGATTTTCTCTCCTGGTCTAAAAGGGCCAGAGCTGTCAGCCGCTGGTCCCATCCCCTTCCTGCTGTCTGGAGTCCTGTCTCCTCAGCTCTGCCTCATCCCCACACTCGTTAGGGGCCAGATTCTCCCCTGTTCTGGCTGTCCTCTTTCTAGGGGCTGATGCAGAACAGCCGTGCTGCACGGCTCAGGCCCGGTGTCTGGGCCCGTCCAGCCTCATCAGACCATGGGGTGTGCTGCAAGAGGAGACCAGGGCTGGATGTTGTAGCATTGATTGATTGCCTCTGGTAGAGCCCTGATCATAGAGCAGACGGGACCCAACAGTGGACTTGTCATGTACCCCCCAGATCTGCCTCGGGAGAACAGAGAACCTGTTCCTCCTGCAAGGAGAGCTGTGCGCTGGAGTTCCCCGCCATCAGATCTCTGTGGGATTGCCTCTAGGGAGTCAGCTGCCTTGTCCAAGCCTGCCCCATCCTGGGAAGTCTGTGCCCAGTGAATGGTCACCGAAGGGGTATGAAGGCCTGGCTCTTTGCCCCACATCGAGGTGACCATCCAGGGCTGTCCCAGCTCTGGAGCTCCCCTGTGGAGTCAGTTGAGGCCTTGGTTGTTGACTCTATCCCAGCCCAACTTCTCCCTCTGCCAGTCCTGCGCCCCTCTTTCCTTGCCCTCCCCTCCCCCCTTTCCTTCCCCAGTGTTGACCCCAAGAGCACTGCCAATAAGCCTCCCACATGCTACTCTCCATATGGGAGTCAGCTTCCCAGGGACCCAAGCTGCCACCCCGAGAAAAACAGAGCAAGAGGTTAAGAGTAAATTAGAAGTGGAGAGACAAGAGAAGCAGAGGGACGGTGACACTAGGAATACAAAGTTCAGCCTGGGCCGTGGGGGTGAAATGGGTGGGGGAAGGACAGTTAGGACACTGTGCTGTTCCCTGAGGAAAAACTGCGGTTGTCCCTTCCATTTATGAGCAGGAATCAGGGTGACAGTCGCTGGCAGGTATCAGAAGAGCCCAGTGAGCCTTTTCCACAGGGGACAGGAAAGCCATACATTTTTAATTAAAATGAGACATAAAATGGAAACAGTAACTTTGGAAGTAGAAAGAAGTCCTTATATCTGGTCAGATGTCTTGTTTGCAAGAGACAGAAAACCCATCCTGAATGCTTACTGCTTAAGCAGTTAGGGATTTATCAGCTTAGAGAACTGAAAAGAGGTAGCTTTTGGCTTTAAGCAGGGTTTGGTCACCGGCTTAAAAGAGATCCCCAGGACTTGTTCTCCCAGCAGCTCTCAATCCACTTCTGTGTGCCGACTCCATTCTCAGGTGGAGACTGCTGCCGCAGCTCCAGCCTCCCTTTGGCCTGTCTCCCAGCATCCCAGCATCAGTCTTATTTTGCTCCTTTGGTTATGATTGGGTCACAAGTCCCTCCTTGACCAGTCATTGTGGCCAGGAGATTGCTATGCTCTGATTGGCCAGGTCTGAACCCCCAAATATGTGGACCAAGCATGGGGAGAGGCAATTCATCCACAGCTGAATACTGATGTTCCCAGAAAAGTGGGGAACAGACTTGGAACAATAGAATCAAATCCACTCGACTCAGTTGAAGAATTTTTATAGAAATGCCTCTTCCTTGCCCCATCCAGTTAAAGCAGTCATTCCTAAGATCAAAGCATTCAAGAAAAGTTAAAAACCAGAACAACAAAAACTATTGTGTGTTACATTTTGTTTTGCAGGATTAACTTAATGACTGCTCTTGTAACATTGTGAGAATAACTGTACACAGAGTGGCATGATACATGTGTTTAAATGTGTTCTAATATATGTTAAGATGAAAAGAAAAAGGAGGTACCATAGAATTGCTGTTTGCTATTTTTTTTTTTTTTTTTTTTTGGCAGCTGGCTGGTATGGGGATAATACTTTTTTTTTTTTTTTTTAATTGCAAACATACAGCATTTTTTTCCCTATTGGACCAAACAGAACTTTCTGGGCTGGACTTGCAGCCCTACCTCCAATTTGGTTCATTGCTTCTAGTTGAAAATGCTTTCTGAGTTCCAAACAATCAATTTGCACATGAACCATTTGCAAGATACAGCCACTGTTATGGGTCCCCTCCTGGCTTAAATAGTCCTGGTGGCTTTCCAATTTTTACCTTGCTCTTTGGGTGCTCAGCAGGGAGCAGATCTTGGACTCAGGTCTTATGAGCCGTGCTGCAGACTTTGGCCTTTATCCTGAGACTGCTGCTCGACTCTCAGCTGGAAAGTGAGCTGGTCACATCTGTGCTTTGGAAAGAGCATGGCATGCCCGCAGCTCTGCCAGGTGGCTGGAGGAGGGTGGGCTTGGCAGGGGGCCCTGTTGGGATGAAGCATCACTTGAGCAGGAGGTAGTGAGAAGGGAGCTCGGAAAATAAGACTCTATGACAACTTCAAATAACAGTTGCTCATACAGCGCTGTTACCTTCAGTGTGGTCCTTTGAGGGGTTCACAAAATAATCCTTGATTCTTGAATACCTTTTCTTTCTGTTCTAGAGAGGTTGATGCTGTCTTGAAGTATCTGAAACAACAGTGTCATGCCCAGAAAATTGGTGTCGTGGGATTCTGCTGGGGTGGAGTTGCTGTCCATCATGTGATGATGAAATACTCAGAATTCAGGGCAGGGGTGTCCGTCTACGGTAAATCTGCCTTGTGCATTTTTGCACAGTAAAAACAGGAATGGTTGACTGACAGTAACCACAAGCCTCTTCCACCTGGTGCAACACAAAACCCAATAGTTGGAAGATGGCCCATCTTAAGGAAATTGGCTTTAAGAATCTGAGAAGAGACATGGAGGTTTGTAATGTAGTAACCAGAGGATGTCACTGGCAGTAAGGAGTCCTGGGTCCCAACAGTGTGACTTTGAGCAAGTCTGCTATCCTGAGGTCTTCATTTCTTCGAGGAGGAAGGGTAGCATTTCTTTCTGTGATGGTGATTCATATAAAGCTATATTTTTTATGAGGGACATTTATGAAAATGCTTTTTCAAGATATGATTTGCTCAACACACACATATACACACTGAAGTCAGAAAGAAAGAAAAGCAAACCCATTCTAAAATGTAAATAGCAACTTACATATTTTGGCTAAAACAAACCAAAGCTATCATAGCAATAAATTAAGAACATTATACCTGTATATAGAAACGGAATACCAAGTTCATGATATAGAAGCATTTGGACCAAAAAATGTTAAAAACAGATAAGACATACAAGGAAATTTGACCATCTTTTATTCTAGTATATCGTAAAGTTATTCTAGTGATTCTTATTTGGCTTAATGGTTACTCACTGTGGTATTTACATCTACGTTTAGCATTTTAAAAACCTTTTAAATATTTACTTACACAAAAGGAAATCGGTTCAATAAATGGCCAGTTGCCCTCGGGCACAGTGGGGCAGGACTGCGAGCCCATGTAGTGAGTATGAATTGTTGAGAATTAGCAAAAGGCGCTCAGGCGTGGATGCCTCGCTGGTGCCACCTTCTGGCCGCTGTTGCGCAGTACGTGAGGGGCAGAGCTTGGCGGGACTCAGGCCCAGGGGACTGCAAACGCTCTCCAGCTAAGTAAGTGGCCTTGCCAGAGTGGGCAGGGAGTGTGGCCGTCTTTCCCGTGGCTCCCTGCCTCCTAGAGAGGAATTATAGGTGAGGAGAGGCTCTCTGTGTTGCTTCCCTCTGCTGTGCTGCCAGCAAGAGGTGGAAAAAAAGTTGACAGTTATTGTCTCTACCTACTCTTATCTTAAAACGGTAACTGAGGCTGGTCGGTTAGTCAGTTGGTTAGAGCGTGGTGCTGTAACACCGAGGTCCAGGGTTCCATCCCTGTTCCGGCCAGATGCAGTGGGCAGAGGTTGTTTCCAGAACCCCTGGGACAGGCAGAACATGCTTTTGACTAATTAGTCTCTAAAATTCTGAAAGTAAGGATGAAAACTACTTTTTACAGAACGACTTGCTAAGACCAGGTGCTGGCAATTTCACACTTGTGGTCCTGTCTGAGACAGCCACTCCTCTTAGGAACAAAATCCCTCAG